AAAGGCAAGAAACATGGATAAGGGAAGTGCGAGAAAGCATTACCCTTGCCTTTGGATCTTGTGGCAGTTAGCTCGAGTGGCCACGGCAGTGATGAGTACCAGCTTGGTCACCGGTGGATCTGTGCGGGCGTGCTGGTGAGGCGTACCGGCGTGGAGCACTAGTGTCGGTGCAGAAAGTGACCAACACGTAAATATTTGTAGTTTTGCCATACGTTGTGATCGAATGTGGCCTAGCACTCAATAACACAAGGTTTATATTGGTTTAGGCAACGTGACCTACGTCTAGTTTGAGTCGGTCGGTGACTTTATTCCTGAGCCCAGGTGCTCGAAGTTTGCTGTGGGGTTATAAACAAGAGGGAGAAAGATGGGGGGTGCAAGAGGTCTGGTCGGACTCCAGACTGAAGGGCCGAGAGTGACGGGAGCTCCTACATGCGCTAAGTATTCGAGCGAGTGCTCTGTGTAGCTTTAGAGCGTCTAAAGCTAGCAAAGGGTGAATCGATCGTTGGTTGTTCGAATCGTTGGAGAGTCCTCTCTTGGAGAGTTGTTGATGGATCAATGCGTGTGTGAGTGAACTGATCCTCCTTGTTGGGAGAGAGCGCATCCCCTTTCATAGATGAAGGGGACGGCCTTACAAGCGAGAGAGAGAGTACGTATGCTACTAAGTCTTGTTGCCCACGCCATCGGGTACAAGATGATGGTAGGCTCCCACAATACTGTTTGTGTCAGACGCATGTGGGAGGTTTTACCGCATTCACCATGTATGGAAAATGACGGCGCCCACAACACTGTCGATGCCCGGAGGCATGTGGGGGGTTTCATCGTGTTCGCCTGGTATGGGAATTGATGCCGCCCACAACACTGTAGGGCAAACGTCGGTGCCCACAACACTGCTTGGGTTCTGACATGCCTGGAAGGTTGCAGGGCACCCTTCTGACATGTCCTATCGGTACTGTCCTATAGGTGTACAGGGTATGGTCCTTGGTATTGCTTTTGGCTTGAGCGTCCTGCCTTACTTTGCTCCATCCGTTTCCTGGGTTCTCACCGAGCAGGTGTCCCCAGTCGGTTGGTCCCAGTTGGCTCCTACTGCGCCAGTCGGAGAAGAGCTGTAAACAGAGGTTTGGTGTATCCCCGGTCAGAGAGGCGGGCCGGAGTCGGAAGCAAGTGTTGTTCCTCCTGGCCAGGCCTTTCGGTCGGAGAGGCATGCCGGAGTCGGAAGCAAGTGCTATTTGTCCTGGCCAGGCCTTCCGATCGGAGAGGCGGGCCAGAGTCAGAAGCGAGCGACGTTCCTCCTCGGGTAGGCCTTCCGGTCGAAGAGGCGGGCCAGAGTCGAAAGCGAGGCCTTCCGGTCAGAGATTGGATCACCCTTCTGGCCTATTGTTAGGTATTTGGGCCGGCCTAGGAGTTGCGCATCATTCGCAACATCGTCTACTGGGCTGAGCTTTTGCTGGGAAGCAGGTCTATGAGGGACCCTGGGTTTATGAACCCGAGAACTAGCTTGTCGATGGTGAGTGGCGGCTTGCACGCCGATGAGTAGGTGAGGAATAACAGCACTTGAGGAGGAAATGGATAGGGTGGTGGCTGGGTGGGTAGCGGTCTTTGTAAGCTAACTACAAACGCACCAAAAATTCTAAAAACACACGTGAGTCTCGGGCTAGCTTGCAAATTTTGACGATATCAGCGGTGAAGGCTACCGGCGGTGGTGATTGGGTATTAAAGAAGATGGTACGTAGCACCTAACGATGGGCATGTCATACGGAAATTGAATGTTGGAAAGGAGCAAAATATTATGGACATTATTTTTGTAGGTTACAGCAAGAAGATGTTAGCATCTAACAGCGAATAGCGGCGGTGATATAATATTTCAACGCCCCTTATATCCGACGGTGACATAATTGTACAATGTAATTCAGCTAGGTTTTAGTAGCTTACTGAACACAGCGTACTTTTTACAGTAACAATGGACGCTAGCATGACAAAGTTCGTCAGCTGATGTTGCATAATAAAGGTACTGATCTCTACAATAACAATGGACGTGATTACAAAGCCGCACCATACGGCGGTTTGCACATACAAACCAACACCCACCAGCATCACAGTGATGTAACAATATTCAAAATCAACAAAAGACATTCTTTTTTGATTGACTCTGTTACACTTTTCATTCACCAGGCGTACAATAACAAGGATCTATCAGCAACTACAGTTATGATGACAAAAACCTTGGCCCTATTCTTTAGCACTACTTTAGTAGTACTTTTCAGCGAACGAACCACCTCTTGGAACTCCCTCTAACATCTGAGAGGATGAGGAGCCCCATGAGGAGCCTTGTCCGTGCCATCTTCGTCAACATCGGGGAGGAATGCATGCCACGGCGTTGAGAGATCCCAGGTCAAGATCTGTGGGCTCAAAAGGTTTCCTAACAATAGCAAGGCACCCTCCACCCTCCATGATTTCCTACAGATATTCTAACCAGGAAGTCTCCCACACGCCGACCATCAACTAGCCTAGACGCCGTGTCATTGGTGACCCAGGCCATCGAAGATGGTATTGTTCTTCCCCATCTCTTCACAGAACTTCCTCTAACACCCAAGATGAACGGCCACCAGCAGGCCGCTGTAGAACTCGATCTTGAAAGCCTTCTCCCAGCAATGGCGAAGCTGCCGAAGTATGCCATGAACCATAGTGGACGAAAGGAGTTGCTGCTCTCTCACTCAGTGTAATGCTAAGGGATGTGGAGGGAGGGGAGGGGATTGGAGGGGGGGTGAGAGACTCAGTGCACCAAGACTCGGCTTAAATAGGCTAGCCTTGAAGATGCATCTAGACTCAGTGCAGAGCACGCATCAGGGAAGACGAGGTATGCAACGGTTCCTAGCTTATTAAGTGGTGGGGACGGTGTTGGAAGTTGGAATGACATTCAACACTCATGCACGCTTCCCTGAGTTTTGGGCTTCCTATGCATCTTCCCATATTTCGGTGTGAACATATGCCCCCAAATTTTGGAATAAATTTTGGTGTGAACACATGCCCCTAAATTTTCGATGAACCCACTGTCCCCTGGGGCTATAAATTTGGAGGCAAGGTGGAGTAGAAGGAATACTGCTTGTGTTCATTTGTTGTGCTGTGTCACATATCTTTTCTTCTTCATTTTCTCCTTTCAGTCTTCTTCTAAACAATGGCTCACGGCAAGCATCCAAGGGAGGGAACTCCAGAAGCCACGAATCCGCCTTCGCGCCTTTGTGTCCCTCTTCATTGCCAAGGGTGAGAGGGAATGATTTCTTATCTCTATGGCTGCCTTGCATTAATCCTTTAAATATGCAGAGCTACCTCTGATGCTGCGGTACATCGGCCAACTCTGGTAGAGGTTGGACAACAATCAATTGTGTGTGCTATCGAAGCACATCTTGTTGGGTCTATGGTATCTTTATCTCCATCTTCATCCTCATCCTTCGAGTTGGGTCAGGATATCTAGAATCTTATCCGTGAAAGGACAGAGGCCAAAAAGCTATATTCTGAAGCCACACTTGAGATAGGTCAGCTCAAGCAATGTCTCAATGCTGTTAAAACAACCCTCTTTGCATCTAAAGAAGAGACCAATGTTGCTTAGATGAGGGCTAATGAAGCTCATGCTAGGACAGCAGGTAAAATTTCTTTGAAGAGTCTTTGCTTTTATATTCACGTCTTTATCCGGTAACCCTTCATTTTTATTAGATCTTGAGGAACAGTTGGCTGCTTCTCATCGCAAGATCGAGGAGGCTCGTTGTTGAGAGATCGACCTAGAGAATCGCCACGAGACCCTCCAATGTGTAACACTTGGCATAGTTGTAGCAGTCAACGCCAGGGGTGTTTCTCTTGAAGATCGCCTGTAGGATATCCCGGCTCGTGCCAGAGAAGTGGCAACTCATGGCATCCGCTATGGTGCCAGTGCTGCTCTTGCTGTAGTACAACTACGTTCAGGGCACGAGCTCCATCATCTAGAACCTAGTTTTTCGGACATTGATCGACTGGAAGATCAAGAGGACCTAATTGGAGACTTCACTGATGCTACCGAGGCTATCGCAGTGACCATCCATGCACAAGATGTTGTAAACAATGTTTTCTTAGGACCATAGATTATATCTAGGGTCTTATAAGTTATAAGTAAACAATCTGCTATTTGAATGTCACTTTTGATCCTATGTCTTTTATTGTTATTTTTTATTCTAAAGGCGATACTCTAGGTGTCAGCTATTTTGAGCCGATGAGACTCGGCTATCAAGCATCGACCCAAATTAAATACTTCGGTAGTACTTCTTTACGTATTTTCCATTGAGGTCTACGCGATAACAGATCCGTACCATACGATGGTTTGCACATACAAAGCAATAGACCCTCTGAGGTAAAAAGATTATGGAATCTAAAGAACAACACAACACATCGCAAAACTTCACCCTCAGTGAGGTTCTCTACCTTCAATCTTGCAACCCTCACAGTCAAAGGATGTGATCTGCTTCTTGACCGTGAGAGCTACAAGATGAAATATAAAGCACCCAATCTTGAAGAACGAGCACCTCGCAAACTTGAAGCACCCACAATCGAGTATGGAGCCCCTAAACAGGAGAGAACCAGATAATTACAGATCTTCTATTAACACAAGATCTACAAGAAGATCTGCAATCATTAAGTTCAAGCTCCTGTTCAGCGGCAGCACCTCACCAAGGATGGACAAGGAGCACCTCGCAAAATTTGCACCTGCATCTCAGTGGGGGTTTTTATATTGAGAGAATTCCTTATTTGACACAAGACAAATGACCCGTTCCTTTCTTAGCCCTCAAAAAAAAATTTGTCCCTATTTGACACCGAGTTCATCTTTCATTCCTTATACGACACTCTGTTGAATTTTCCATCCGTGAACCGTTAACTGCCATGTGAAAAGACGATTTGCCCCTGTGGGCCCCACCACCCTTCTCCCTCCTCTCCTCCCTTTCTCTCCCCTATCCGCACCCCCGTCCGCCCACGAGGTTCTAGAGCGCGCTCACGGCCGGCTCCTGCGGTAGCGGGCCGTCCAGGTAGAGCAGCAGGCTACGTAGCCCGCCCTCCGACATGACGGCATGCCGCAAGCCATCGTTGCTGGACGTGAGGTTCTGCAAGCACTCGGCAGCGTGCTCCTTGGCGCCTGCCACGGCACAGCGGTCCAGTAGTCCGACCATGACGCGGATGACTCCTTCGTCCACCAATGCCTGCCACACCTCCGGCACCGTCGAGAGGTTCCTAAGTGCGTCGGCCATGGTGGTCTAGGAGACGGAGTCCCCCGTCTGGCAGATCTCAATGAGCGCGCCGGCGCCACTGTGTCCAACGACCGGGCGTGCGATGTCAGGCGACGACGCGGACAGGTGCTGCAGCGTGAGCGTAGCCTTCTCACGCGCCGCAAGGCTGCCGGACTCCGCCAGCCTAATTAGCGGCGGTAGGACGCCCTCGGTCACGAGCAGTGCCTCGCAGGTGGCGCCGCCCGACTCCGTGGCCTGGCACAAGACGGTGGCGGCCTTCTCCTGGACCACGGGCGCCAACGCTATGAGTAGCTGCACCGTCGCGGAGACGCTAGCGCGGCTGAGCGCCGCCAGCACGCTCCGCTCGTCCCTGCGCAGCGCGTCCAACAGCTCGTCCACGACCCAACTCTTGGCCTCGGACGTCCACGGACAGGAGGGAGAAGGGGAGGAGAGGAGGGAGAAGGGTGGTGGGGCCCACAGGGGCAAAATCATCTTTTCACATGGCAGTTAATGGTTCACGGATGGAAAATCCAACGAAATGTCGTATAAGGAATGAAAGTTGAACTCGGTGTCAAATAGGGAACGGAAATTTTTTGAGGGCCAAGAAAGGAACGAGTCATTTGTCTGGTGTCAAATAAGGAATTCTCTCTTTTATATTCCATAATGTTGCTACCTCTTAACATCGAGGGATGCAGATCTACATCTCGATGCTAAAGGGAAGCATCTAAAGCACATAATCTTGCAGGCCTTCTCCAAACACCCGGTGAGGTGCTTTATCTCCATCTTGCACCTCTCACGGCCAGGGATGAAGACAAAGAACTTCTTGGTGATGAGGAAAGATACAGTAGCGCTCATGAGTGTGTGGATTGAGCCCAAGAGGTGCATCTAGACCTTGGTTAAATAGGCTAACCTTGAAGATGGAGAAGTGCAAGTAGTTGGAAAATAACTCACGCTCACTTTACCGTCGGAAGACCAAACTGTCGTGGAGGGCCGACGGCCATAACACGTATCCTAGTCGGCTCGGCTTTTCATACGGCTAAGAAAATACCACTGTTACATCTATTGTTAACCCATCGATGGTAGAAGTTTCAACTGCCAGTTTCCTTCCTCATGAGGCTTCGCTGTCGGTCCAACCGATGGTGGAAGCATAACATAGTCACTTCTATTGCTACAGCAGTGAAAGTGGCGATAGTGATAAGTCAATCTATAGTAGTGATTCCTTGGTTGGCCACATAGAGGTGAGATGACCCTATATGCGGCACTTGAAGCATTTGACATGCTTTAGCCTCTCTTCTTCCTTCTTCATCTTGAGCTTTTCCTCGTTGGGGCAACCATTTGCAAGATGTCCCACTTCATGGCATTTGAAGCACATGAATGAGAGAGCTTTTCTTGTTCTTGCTTCTTCATCTCTCGTTCATATCTTCTCTTGACCTATCTCTTGCCCTTGATCTTGCTCTTGTTGAATCCAATACCACTCATGTCATTATGGCTTTCTTGATAATTGACTTTGCTAGTCTTGAAGCCGATGCCACTCTTATCACCAAAGTTTCTTTGAGTCTTCAACATATGCTCAAAGGTGACTTGAGAGTTGTAGCACCTCTCTAGCTTATTGCTCAAATTCTTCACTTCATTTTTGAGCTCATTGTTCTCCTTCAAAAGATTAGTCTCATAAGACAAGAAAGTATAACAAGCATCTATATGTGAAGAACATGGCATAGCTAATAATTCATCACAAGAGGTGGATACATGCTTCTTGCCTACATCACAAGGGTTAGCAACAACATGTGATTGATCAATTGACCCATGTGATGAGCTCACACTAGTTTTAGATTTTTCATTTGAAAGCTCTTTAGTGAGAAAAGCATGGTCTTGTAACAAGTTATCATGAGCAACACTAAGTTCCTCATGAGCCAATTTTAGCTCCTCATGTGAACAAGTAGTAACATAAAGTAGATGCATTTGTTGTTCACATGTTTCCTTTAGAAAAGAGTTTCATTTCTCAATTTCTCGGTTTTAGCCATCTCTCTAAATCTTTGATAATGCTACCAAATCTATCTAGAAGCTCCTCATATGAATCAAGATCAATCACATTTGCATTAGATACCTTGGTGTCACCTTGTGACATGAAGCAATGTGATGTAGAGGATGAGCTTGTAGATACATCACTCTCATAGCCCGAGCATGATCCATCTTCATCACCATCAAGTATGCATGGAGTAGAATCAACAATTGCATCACTTGTGGCATCATCATCAATCTTGTCAAGTGATCTTGTGGTAGAATCATCATCATCATCACTTGACCATGAAATGGAACAATCTTCCACAATCACCAAATCATGGTTATGCTCAACACACTTATGTGCCTCCTCCTTGGGCTCATCATCATCATCATCATTGGAGACCGTCCCATATTTCTCATTAAGATAACTCCAAATCTCATGGGCAGTTTTTATGTTCATGATCTCTCCAAAGATGCTATCATCCAAAGATCTATAAATGATGTCAATAGCTTGGGTGTCGAGATCTAGGCATTTCTCTTGTGCTTGAGTTAGATTATCTTCATCCAACACATAAGAAAAGCCTACATCTATCATCCACCACATTTGAGGGCAAATAAACTTAAAATTGCATATCATCTAATTTTTCCATCATGCAAAGTGTGTGCCATAAAAAATATGTGGACAATCAACATCTAACCCACAAGTCGCCATCCACTTAGGTTGGTGAAGACCACAAATGAGAGACCTAGCTCTAATACCATGTGTAGGGTTGAGATGGCGGACTAGAGAGGGGTGAATAGTCCTTTCTAAAATTAATCGCATCAGTTAACCGAAACAAATGCGGAATTAAAACTAATGGTCTAGCCAAGACTACACCCCTCTATCTAAGTTCTCTAGCACCTTACAAAAGGTACTAATCAAGCAACTAAGGTACCAGGCTAGCTAGAGCTCACCTAACCAATTCTAAAAGTAAGGTCACATAAACCTATGCCACTAGTACTTCAAGCAACGGGGAGCTCCTACACATGCTAGTAGCAAAAGCACAAAGCTCCTAAACTCACTAGCAATGCTCAATAACAAGGCAACTAATGCCAAATTAGAGAGCTCAACTTACTTAGCTACACAAACTAAGCAAAGCAACTAATTTACTACAAAAGAAAACTAGCTACACAAGGGAGCTACTTCTATGCTACACAAGCAAGACGGTAACTAGCAAGCTACACAAGCTAACTAATTACAAGAGCAACTACATAAGCACAATGCATATAAATGTAATTACAAGCTTGTGTAAGGGGAATGCAAACCAATGGGAAGACAAGGATGACACGGTGATTTTTATCCCGAGGTTCACTTGGTTAATACCAAGCTAGTCCCCGTTGAGACAAGCTCCAAGGTTGTCGTCGGTCCCCTTGCTAGTGGTGACCCGCAAGTCACACTCTCCCACATGGAGTGCTTACCACAAGCTCTAGCACTTGACATGGCTGGACCATTTGTCGCCCTTCGCATCTCGCTCAACTAGAGTTGCTCTTCGTGGCTCCCGCGAGAAGAGCACAACACCCCTCACAATCTTCTCCGGAGCACCGCACAAGCTTCTTGCGTGCTTCGATAGAGATCACCCCACCAAGCTATCTAGGAGGTGGTAACATCCAAGAGTAACAAGCACCACCGGCTTGCAACTCGATCACCTAGTGCCACTCGATGCAACCTCACAATGCAATCGCACTAGAATCAGACTTACACTCAATCGGATGATCACTATCAAGCGTATGTGAGTTAGAGGGCTCCCAAGCACACCAACACAAGCCACCAAGGCTTAAGGGTGCTAAGCAACCAGCCTAAGGGCGAGCTCCACATCTATTTATAGCCCCCAAGCTAAATAGAGTCGTTGCTCCAAAGATTCCCTTTTCTACGAGGGCACCGGGTAAGGCGGTGCCCCTCCAACGGTCAAGTACCAACGACTAATTTGAACTAGCCGTTGAGCCTCTAGCACCGGACATAGGGTGGTGGTGGCACCGCCCTAGGGGTGGCGGTGACCACCCAGCCAAACCCTCCAAAAAACATCCTCTCTGTTTAAAAATGGCAGTGCACCGCCCAAGGGGTGACAGTGCCCCGCGGCGGTGCCCAACTCAACTTCCCCCGCTCTCTAGATAAAAGAGGAGGTGGCACCGCCCTACCAGTGGTGGTGACCAGGTGGCGCACCACCCTCGCCGAGGCGGTGAACACCGGACGCGGCGGTGACCACCTCCACATAGCGCTTCTTGGCCGAGTCCAGGTGGGCACCGCCCTAGGGGTGGCGGTGCCACCGGATAGGGTGGCGGTGCCAACCTAGCACCTCCCTCTCGGCCAGGTCTAGCCGGTCACCGTCCTAGGGGTGGTGGTGCACCGGACAGGGGGTGGCGGTGCCACCAGAGGCAGCACCTCATCCCCTTCTTCGCCTCCTTTGCTTCCTTTGCAAATGTGCCAACACCACATGTGTTTCACCATCTTGTGCATGTGTGTTAGCTTTTCATAAATGTTTTCCAAAGGATTGGTCACTCAATTCACCACGCTACTCGATCCTAGCAACGATGCAAAGTTAGATCACTCGAGTGACACTAGATGACTGATATGCAAACAAGTTTGCCCCTCTTGATAGTACGGCCATCTATCCTAAATCCGGTCATAAACTTCTCTACACACCTATGACCGGTGAAATGAAATGCCCTATAGGTTATACCTTTGCCTTGTGCATTCCATTCCATCTCCTCTAATGTTAATGCAACACATGCACCAACCATATCACAAATGATATGATCCACTTCATATCATCACGTGACCTTGTTGGTTCATCGATCTTGACCTCACTCGCTTTTCACCATTGCCTTCGTCCATTGGCGCCAAGTCTTGCTCAAGCTTTACCGCCTCATGGTTCATCGCTCCAAAGCCTCCAACTTGCCCTTCACGCTTGCAACTGGTCCATCAAGCCAAGTCTTATCTTGATCTTCTCCACCTTAGTCACATGACTCAATGCCATGTGTCA